ATCACTGTTTATAAGAAATATCTTTGATCCAGATACAAAAAACTTTGCACATAGTTACTTATTGGTGTATCTGGGCCCTGTTTCTCGAAATCTTAACTAAAGATAAAATCCAAATTTTAGTAGATACTTCAATTTTGATTTGCGAAGCACTAAAATGAATCTAATATTATCTAATCAAATTACTAAAATTTGGATTTTATCTAAGTTAAAATTTCGTGAAACAGGCCCCCGATCTATTAAAACAACAAACGTTTTATTAAGGGCTATATTTAAGTTTTACAAAAGGAGAACAATTTAGAGTAAATTCTTAACTCAAGTCTGAGAATGCTTTGTGAACTTGGGGTCAAGTACTAATACAATGAGTATATATAGCAAGTATATACCAGGCCTTGATACAGCGAGTATTATAGTTCGGTATTTATGTCGTTTTTAAGTATGCAGATTGAGATATAAGCATTATTATGCTTATTCGAATTTTGTATAGAATGTAATTTCGAATGAGAATGATTCCCCGCGGGAAATAATTTAAGCCAATTTTGCGTCCATCCTCGGTAATCCCAGCGGTATCGTTCCATTCTACTCTGGAACTAATCCTGCACGTGAAAATGTTCTTACCTTTCATAAAACCGGATTGTCACGGTGATTCAATGAGTACGACGTTGGCTCTCTAAACCTATAGGCCCCGTGTGCAATCCCTGCGTTGGCCGAGATAGTTCATAGGGAATTTCCGGCGTGGTTCCCCCTTGCTAGTAGTGTAAAACAATTGGCATGGTAAGGGACAACGTATAGTCGTTGGGATGGGACGACAAACTGAGGTCCCGTGCACGTAAAAGATCCCTGGCAGTTGGAGTTTGATATAAAAGTCGGCGTTAGCGCCGCTGTCCGGCCAAATGTCCATCATAGCACACTGTATGGCGTATGCCCGTGTTCATTAGCTCTTGGAGCAGAACATGAAACCGTTTAGCTAATCCCGTCGGTTTAACGTGTACAGTTACCTATTTATAAAGTCCCTACTGACGTGATTAACCAGTCTCAAATTCCAAACCAATTAATTTACAGATTAGACGTGGATTAGAAGCGCATTTATCTAGACATCAAATCGGTTTAGTTTTCTGTTGGCATGGAAAATGAGTTCATTGACCAACTGGAATTACATGTGAATTGACGTAGAGATTAGTTATTAACAGGAATAAGGTCAAACATCCAAGGTCATTGACGTCATGAATTAGCGGAATGCGTGTCCATTAACAGTTATGACGGAATAGTGTAAACCATCAAAGTAAATGCACGTGTGGTAAGTTCTTGGGGACTTACGCCACTTAGAATGGTGAATTCCCCGCTCGAAATTTCCAAATATAACACAATACCGTTATATTGCCAAATCTTACTTATTTCTTTCTAAATTACCAAATGTTACTCATTTCGTTCGAAATTAACACAATACTCTTATATTGCCAAATGTTATCTAGTTCTTTCGAAATTACCAAGTGTTACCAATGTCTTTAGAAATTACCAAATGTTACCAATGTCTTTAGAAATTAACACAATACCGTTATATTGCCAAATGTTACCTATTTCTTTAAAAATTACCAAAATTACCAATTGTTGCCTATTTTTTTAGAAATTACCCCCCCCCCCACCAAAAAAACAAAAACAAAAACAAATGTTACCTATTTATTTAGAAATTACCAAATGTTACCAATTTCTTTAGAAATTAACACAATACCGTTATATTGCCAAATGTTACCTATTTCTTTAGAAATTACCAAATTTTACCTATTTCTTTAGAAATTACCAAATGTTATCTATTTCTTTAGAAATGAACAAAATACCGTTATATTGCCAAAGTTTTGATGAGATTGTTCAGTCACCTTGGCATTCATGAAAATATTTTAAATAACGCTTAGTAATTGACGATATAACTAATAATTATACGGATTAACACCTTCTTTTCTTTAGTACAGCAACTAATCAACTAGACTTCGCTAGTCTTTATGGGATTGTTCGAACGTCTAAGTAATTGTTATTCCGTATAGTTTTGATACGCCCACATTTTCATGTTAACGAACTATGCCGTCGCCTTTGTCCTCTGTCAGGGGGGGGTGGATGGCCGAATGGTTAGCATATGCGTGCTGTATCATAAAGCCTGTCATTGAGTCAACTGGCGTGGTTTCGAATCACCGGTTGTACGTGACAAGGAGTAGGGTCGCCTGTCCAACCTCGTGGGTTTTCTCCGGGTCCTCCGGTTTCCTCCCACTGCTAAAGACCCCTACGCGCAAGCGAATTATTGAAATAAAATTGAACTATGTGTTAGTCCCGAAATGACCTAGTTTGTGTTGAGTGGACGTTAAACCCCATTTCTCTCTCTCTCTCTCTCTCTCTCTGTCCCCTGTCCGTAAGGACGTCCAGACGTCCATCCGTTCACAATTTGTTTGTGGACCCTCTACAGGCCACAATTTGTATCCGATTTTGACGAAACTTGAAATATAGCTTTATATCCCAACGGTCTCGGTTCCGTTCGATATTGCCATGTATATAGACCTTAACGTCAGGGATTATGGCCCATGATTGTACACAAAATTTTCCAAATTGTGGCCGTATCTTGCATGGCAAGCGCTTGTTTTATTTATTAATGAAAATGTCGTTTGATTATACTTATGTTGTGGTAGATTGTCGTTTGATTATATTTATCTTGTGATAGGGTTGTCGCAATCTTGACTGACATTTTGTGATATTTACAAGTTATGTTTATGGTAATGTACATTATGTACACCGTGTAATACAACAAAATGATTACATGGTCCCGTGGGCATAACGTGTGAATGAGATGCAATTCCACTCAGTTATCACAGATAAACAACCTATCGAGGTTTAGTAGGATTTAACAAACGACGATTGGAATAACTATTTTATCATCAACTTAATCAATCACTCTAAATTCACTAAGTACGGATGAGAGGGAGAGAGGGAGAGGGTTAACGTCAACTCGACACAACTAGGTCATTTCGGGACTAACACATGGTTCAATTTTATTTCAATAATTCGCTTGTGCGTATGGGTCTTTAGCAGTGGGAGGAAACCGGAGAAAAAACACGAGGTTGGACAGGCGATCCTACTCCTTGTCACGTACAACCGGGGAATCGAAATCGCGCCTGCTAAATCAATGACAGACCTCGTGAGCCAGCGCGCACGTGCTAGCCATCCTTCCATCCAACCCCCCAAGTACGGGTGAACCTGACTTGAAAAGCCCAGATGCAATTATACAATAGCGACGGAAGTTGAATTGACTCATAAAAAAAACCCACTGATTAAATTATACATTAGACATCGATAATTCAACGATAACATAATTATACTTATTTTGCTTATTCAAATTAGTGTCCCACGCGAGAACAAAAAAAAGAGTTAACTTTGCATATATCTATTATATGCTCTCAATTGTGGGAAAACAATGCGTCTATTTATTGCAACAAACTGTTCACATTTTTCTCAAAAGTTAAAAACACTACTACAGATAACAGAAGATGAGCATAATGATAAGAACTTTATTAAGAACATGAAATAGACATAAGACGAGAGGAGCTCTATTCCAAGTCTGACTTACTGTCAGTAAACTCCTGGTTATATAGAGAAAATGTATAGAGACATCACCATATATGGTATTGTTTATTCATCAGATTATGGTATCTGTAATTGCACTGTGTATTTCCTTTGAAGTCTTTATCAGGCCATGGTATGATGCACTGACCACTGTCGAGTGTTGTACACAGATTATATGTAGCTTGTAAAGGACACACGGCATAAATTACATGTTTAAAGTTACAATTTCATATTTTCTAAGAAAGTCAAAACATAATTTTTTCTATGTCTTTTGCTCAATAGGTTGTCAACTCACTATTATACGATCATAGGTGTCATTCTCACACTTCAAACTCATTTACACCGGAAATAATAACACAATTACCTTCCAATTACCTCCCTTGTTTTCTATTCTCCACCATGGAGTAGTTATCTTCAAACGTTTGAATTTGAAGATGAAAATGATATTTTTGTAAATTTCTAAACAGGCAATAGTGAATTATAGGATTAATATGATTATTCTTTAACAAAGTAGGACTGTTTATAGATACCATCTATTTTAAAGGGACAATAACACTCTTGCTGGCTTGAAAGCTCCAGAAAATAAATAATATCTCTATCTAAGTACTAGATGTTTAAGTGTCCTACCTGTTGTGTAAATTATCCATTACATCCTATTTTACTTGTCCAGAGGGTTCGAAAATATTTTTAAATCGAAGTTTCATTTGAAAAGGTTTACGTTAGACGTTTCAAACCATTATGTTGAATTTGTCAAAAATTTTAAATAAGGTGTGTTAAGATGAAATTTGTATCATCAATCAATTGGAATATTGTAAAAAAGTACAAGTTGTTGACCAGAATAAAGATTAGGACATATTTTTCAGTTCCAACAAGAGTGGTATTGAGCCTTTAAGGCTTTATGTTAATAATTTTTTAAAAATATAACTTAAAAATATAAAATTGCAACTTTAATTAGGACAGTCTTGACTAACAGAAGTTGAAAAGTCAATAACATATATATTATCAAAAACCATTTGGAGGTCAATAAATTCTATGCACCTAAATGATCGTTCAATTTGATGAAAGTTATAGAGCACTTTGTCATATTTAATGTCAAGGCTTATTATTATATAATTGTAATTAAGCACATTGAAACATTTATACATTTAATATAGCCGTAATAGATTTGAACGAATAGGCCACCTGTAATGCATGTCTAAAAATAATAGATTATTCATGTTTTCATATTTCTTGGCAGTTGGAATTCGATATAAGAGTAGGCCGTAGCGCGCCTGTCCGTGTCAAATTGCCCTCATCATAGCACATTGTATGGCGTATGCCCGTCTTCATTAGCCCAGTCTGGGAATAACAGTAGAACATTAAACCCAGTTTCATTTTATTTATTTTCTATGTATTTTCAGGAAAATGTAAGAAACAACCCAAGAAAGAAGAAAAGAAACATTTGATATTTGGTCCGTTAATCAGAAAACGGAGTAGGGATGAACCGCCATTTGTTGTTCCTCAGATTTTTGTGGACTACGGAAGTAGAAGGACTTCATATGCTTCCGCTTCCGATCACGTGATGCTTGGGGCATTGGCCCTAGACTTGCGTAGAAGTTCCGGAAGTAGCTGTGGCAGCAGACGAACTTCATGTTCTTCTGACGTTGATAGGAGAGGATCGGGTAGCAGTTTATGTAGTCGGAGAACTTCTTATGGATCCGACTATGATCGGAGAGGTTCGGGAAGTAGTATTTGTAGCCGGAGAACATCGTTAATTTCCGATCCGTCCGATAGGAGAGGATCCGGGGCCAGTAGTAGAAGTAGTAGAAAGGGGTCAGATGGAAGTCGGTTCGACGATACTGACGTTTCATTTGCAGGTAGGAGTTATTTTTACTTAGAGCCATTGCCTTAGTTAAATTTAACGTAGCTATGGTAGTATTAGCAGTAGCAGTAGTAGTAGTAGCAGTAGTAGTAGTAGTAGTAGTAGTGGTAATAGTAGTAGTAGTTGTAGTAGTAGTAGTAGTAGTAGTAGTAGTAGTGTAGTAGTAGTAGCAGTAGTAGTAGCAGCAGTAGCAGTAGCAGCAGCAGCAGTAGTAGTAGTAGTAATAGTAGTAGTAGCATAGTAGTAGTAGTAGTAGTAGTAGGCGCAGTCGTATTAGTAGTAGTAATTTGAGGGGTTTTAATTACCTATTACAGATTTTTCTGATTCCGAGACGCTTGAGGCAGAAGAAATGGCGCGAGAACACGGAATGAGGGGAAGCATAGCTGGTATCACGGTCGGAGGTGTCGGTCGGAGGATCAGTGTAGATGCTGCTGCTTTAGAGGGAAGACAAGTCCCTCCTTACAGAAGAAGTCATTCATTAGCAGAGCTAAAGAAGCCATTGAGACCGATACCATACGAAGGTAAGACATCAATTCTATGTTTAATAAAAAAATAATAATTTTTGTATGCTTTTATTAATGACCGTTTCTTGAGAAATGATAAAAAAAATGATATTAATTGCCATTATAGTTGGCAATAAAAGTTCAAAACAGAAACCTTTTATTTAAAGATGCAGTATGTACTAGGTAAATCTGCTTATTGCAGTCTTTTTTCTGGCGGGGGGGGGGGGGGTGGAAGGTCGAATGGATAACGCGACAAGAACTTGGGACGATAATTTATCACCCAATAATACATTCTACAGTACATATCGCTTGTGTGATAAATTTCACAATCTACTGCGATCGCTTTACATGAATTTGGTTGATCAATCAAAAAGAGACTCCTTTTTTATTTTTAAAGAACAGTTTATTTTATTTTCAAAGATCAGTTCAATTTTTATCAACAGTAACTTCTTTCTTATTAAAAAGGAATTATTTTTATTTAATCGGCCTTGATGGAAACACTGGGTCAATATAAAGGACTTTGCAATGGTTGAATTGATGTCAAAAAATGATTTATCACTACGCCGTAATGTAATCAGGTTCAGTAAAAGATAAATCTATAGCAAAGAATTATATTTATTTATTTGTGCATGTAAGAAGGGATTGGGTGATAAATAAAATCTCCTACTCGTCTTTTTTTAAATAAAAAAATATCAACACTCGTCGATAAAGTAAAAAAAAAACTTGGCAGATATCAAAAACAAGCTCGTTGTTCGTTATTCGCCAATGTCAAAACAGCGTGTTATTCGGGTAGAAAGACAAAATGTTAGAATCTATTTCCGAAGACTCTGACGTGTTCTTAACCAATTAGTCTCATAAAACCCCACTCCCGGCGTATTCCCTACAAAAGTTACTTTATTATATAACTAATTCCATACCTGGTGAATAACGAACAACAAACTAGCTCGTTGTTCGTTATTCGCGAAAACCGAACAACAAACCAGCTAGTTGTTCGTTATTAGCGAATACCGAACAACAAACTGGCTCGTTGTTCGTTATTCGCCAATATGAAGTTTTATGAACCAATTAGGGTAATAAAACCCCACTTCTGGTGTATTCCCTACAAAAGTGCCTTTATTATATTAAAAATTCCATAACTGGTGAATAACAAACAACAAACCAGCTCGTAATTCGTTATTCGCGAATACCGAACAACAAATTGGCTCGTTGTTCGTTATTCGCCAGTATGAATCTTCTCGTTGTTCGGTTAAAAAGACAAGTTGTTAGAATCTATTTCCAAAGACTTTAAAGATTTATGAACCAATTAGGCTGATAAAAACCCACTCCTGATATAAAAGTGCCTTTATTATATTACTAATTCCATATCTCGCGAATAACGAACAACGAGCCAGTTTGTTGTTCGTTATTCGCGAATACCAAACAGCGAACCACAAGCTAACTTCACATCGCCCGGCCAATGCACGGATCGAACACGCGAACTCCAGGCTAACGCGCCAGCGTCTTACCCACTTAGCCACCGTGATCCCCTTGAGCTATAAACCAAAGCCCTTCACACCCACTACCCCACCCTGCTACACCCATGTTTACATCCTCGACCCCATCCTACTACACCACGACATTGCGACCCCTCACATCCTCGACTCCGTCCTGCGTCACCACGACATTATTACGCCATTCGCACCGTATCGATTGCTAAATGCCTCCTGGTAAATTTAAAATAGTTATTTAATAAGCACTTTAGATATTACAACATGATTTCATATTTGTTGAAGAACGGCAAACAGGTCTTAGTATAAACTGTAAAGTTAAAAATATCCATGGTTTTATCGTATCGATGTACGCTAAAAATACTCCTTCCGTTGTGGGCTTGCTGACAAGTTTTTGAAATTACCTAAAATAGACAATCTATTGTTCCGAGTGGTTTGATATTTATATATTTGATGAAAAACTAAATAAATGTATGTCGCTGTTTAATGGAGCGTTAGAATAACTAACATCTGACATGAAACCAAACATAACGTCATTGGTGGGTTTATAAAGGGAGTTAGAGAGAGTTTCGTACTTTGATCAGTTCACCGTTAACTCTGTTTATTGCTGATCGGAGTTTATTTGATGTTCGACTTAAAATCATTAAATGGAAATAAAGGAGCGTCCTAGACTTCTAGCTGTATAAATGAAATGTGAAGAGTCTAAGGAGAGAGAGAGAGAGAGAAATGGGGTTTAACGTCCACTCAACACAAACTAGGTCATTTCGGGACTAACATATGGTTTAATGTTATTTCAATAATTCGCTTGAGCGTAGGGGTCTTTAGCAATGGGAGGAAACCGGAGTACCCGGAGAAAACCCATGAGGTTGGACAGGCGACCCTACGCCTTGTCACGTACAACCGGGGATTCGAAACCACGCCAGTTGACTCAGTGACATGCCTTATGATACAGCACGCACGTGCTAACCATTCGGCCATCGAACCCCCCAGAAGTCCAAGGGAAGAACGAACTAAGTCACATTTTTGTCTTTTCGCATAAAAGGCAAAACAGACTTTTGGACGAGAATGCTTGACGCGAACAGAACAACCAGTGGGTTTAATTACAACTTCAAAATGATGTTTAATACAAATCATAATTACCAGTACAACAACTGACTTCCATTTTACGGTCAGAGGGTACGATGAACTTGTATTTGTCCGGGAGGCCATTTCAGAAGGGCGTTGGTTCGATTTGACTCCGGTCGTTTTTACCTGAAATTGATTGTTCCATAGAAAGCTTATACAATTTGCTACCAGATTTCGCCATTAACTTGGGTTCGTTGAAAAAGTGACTTAGATCGTTCTTCCCCGGGCATTCTGATTAAAACACAGATCCAATTTCGTTTCGTTTTTATAGTTCAAAATTTCGATTTTACTTGTCTTTACTACACTTGGATCTTGAAGCGTTGTTATTTAACTCTTGTTCTGCTTAAAATGAGGGGTCAGCCAATCAAATGGTCTGTCGAATCGAGCGTTTCACCTTTTTTGCGCGGAACTGTGGGTAAACATTAGCGGCAATAGAAATCAAAACAAAGCAAAAGTAGATAAAAAAAATACACGGCGGTCGCTAATTGGTTAATCGAATGACTGACGTAATGCTTGCTTGGTACCTGACGTCATAGAACGTAAACTCCCACTATAACTTGTTAGATCTACATGTAGTGTAGGCCATCGAAAGTATAAAAAACGAAACGAAATATAGATCTATATTTTAATTAGATTGCTCCTGATAAGTTTAGTGTCCGACTCATCAGGACCTAACGGGTAATTGAAGACCGTCATACAGTGTAATATGACTTATACTAGGTTTCCGCCATCACGACTCGTACTGCGATTGAAATCGTAGTTTTATTCGTGGAGTAATCGTGGTGATCCTATCAGGTCGTATCATATTATTGAGGTCGGTCTTAGCAACCGTGTTGATCGTATCGAAACGTATCTTCACGCACCAGATCGTGGACAATCCTATCGTAACGCATCGCACGCCATTGGGAAACCTAGCATAATTATTTCCATTCCCCACAGCAAAGAAAAACAAGATATAATATGGATATAACGACCCCCCCTCGTATTTAATAACCACGTTTCGTAACATATACAGATAACGTTTAATCATTCCAATTCCCCACAGCAAAGAAAAACAAGCTGTTATATGGATAAATAAAATAAAACCAAGTACGAACAATCCAAACCATTAGACAAAATTCGAAGTCCTAAAAAAAACGGTATAGGCAAAATAGTGTAATAAGGCAAAATAGTATATCAGCATATGGACTGTTCACCGTGTACAAAATACACGACAAACAGTGGTAACGGGTGTCCGGAAGAGTAAGCTTACCCTGCATAACGACCTCCCTCATATCTAATAACCCACATTTCGTAACACATACATGTCACGTTTTCAGGTTACAAACAACGTTATTAAATTACAGAGAACTAGATGTATCCATGTATCCCTCTTGTTGCTGTTGTGGATATTTTCTCCTATTTCTAAATGTCATTTCTAAAGAATCATTTTAAGTCTGTCATTTGAAACATTTAATGGTTACCCTGCATAACGACCTCCCTCATATCTAATAACCCACGTTTCGTAACACATACATGTCACGTTTTCAGGTTACAAACAACGTTATTAAATTACAGAGAACTAGATGTATCCATGTATAACTCTTGTTGCTGTTGTGGATATTTTCTCCTATTTCTAAATGTCATTTCTAAAGAATCATTTTAAGTCTGTCATTTGAAACATTTAATGGTTAAGCAATTTCTCACATTCATCGCACCCTTTATAATGGTACAGTGAAATCATTAAAGGAGCTATATCGGTTATATTTGGTACCTAGAATTTGGCACAAATGGATTCGCAACGCATATAATAATGTAAAATGAATGTATATAAACTGATTTAAATTCAGTCATTTCCGTTTTTACTCTAGCATCGTTCTCCGAGTTCCTTGTTACAAATGGCGCTGAAACGCATTATGATACCAATGGTAAAATGTTTATTTTGTCTTAAATATTTGATATCAGAAGCCCATCTTTTCCCGGTAAGATCAGAACATCAACGTTGATTTACATTGACAAATAATTCGTGTTTTCAATGTCGAAGACTTTTAATGATACTGAGTTAAAGACTTGGCTACTTTAAGACTAAGCCTTCGAACTACATGGCATTAATATTCATGCGATTTCTGAAAATAGTGTCATCAAGTAGTATCCCCAGACTATTAGACGTATAACATTTTAAACTCAGGCGATGTCATCTGTATATGAATTATTTCTAGATAATTATGTCATGGCTGTAAACGAGTCTAGATCGTACGACAATCAAACTAACCAAGCCTAAGCTTTGAGGCCCTTAATCCCAGAAGCGTCGTTAGTCCGCGTTGCGTGCTTAAAGATGAATTATGTAAGAGCTAAATCTGTCTATTACCAGTCTTCCTTTTGGTTTCAAATGTTATATCAATTATTAATTAGACATTTATTCGCATCAAATTTCCAATAAATTACATTTGTAATTACTTTTTTTCTAACTATTATAGCCGACACGTCAGCTACTTATCTAAATTTTACAGAATGTATCTTTAATAAGTTGTGACTTCTGGATTGGTTTCCTAGCAATATATCGGATCGAATCAGGACTAAGGAATTGCGTACCTGTTGTAATGAACGTGCAGGGTTTTGATTTGAAGGAGCTAAATCGCTAATATTTGGGGCCTAGAAATTGACACAAATGGGTCACAACGCATATAATAATGTAATATGAATGTATATAAATTGATTTGCATTCAGTCGTTTCCGTTTCAAATCAGTTATGTTCGGCGAAATACGCTAGAAGTTTTAATCGAATGGCAACCTCAAGCGTCTGGTTATTCCAGTCTACACCGATATTATTTATTGCCCATGCTCTCCAGATAAGAATATGGCATCACCGTTTGGCATGACTTGTGGAATATATCTAGCCTCGTTCTTCGAGTCCCTTGTTACAAATGGCACTGAAACGCATTATGGTACACGATTCGGGTACCAATGGTAAAATGTTTATTTTGTCTTAAATATTGGATATCAGAAGCCCATTTTTTCCCGGTAAGATCACAACACCAATGTTGATTTAAATTGAGAAATAATTCGTGTTTTCAATGTCGAAGAATTTTTGGATGACATTGAGTTAGAGACTTAACTACTTTAATTTCTTTCGAGTTTGTTCTTCCTTAGTATTGCCCATCCATCATTGCAGACCTCGTTGCTTCAACATAGGTCCGTCCACCATTGCGTACCGTTTTTCAAAAATGAACAAACCTCTCTGCCACAATTGACTAAGAACAATTTTAGCTATTGCGATTGCTCAAAATGTTTTGCTCTTGTAAATAGAACATCCACTTTAATTTCTATTTGAAATGATTTGATAATCTAGAGAGAGAGGACACGGTTTATCCTCTGACATATTTTTTGCCTGCAGGCGTTTTATTTACATCTTTTAATCTTGCAATCTAGATAAATAAAACCCAGATCTGTAACAATCTTGTTTATTAGGTAGTCCTGAAGGCTAGAGATTAGTACAGCCGGTATAAAGATTAGGGGATAATGGATTTAACGTAATGACCCGTTGTTAAAAGCATCAAATGTATTAGGAACTTTTGTTTGTTAAAAGCATCAAATGCACCGACTGGCTCCACATTCTAACAGGGCGGACTCGTCTTTTAACGCGTGCTTCCACAAGAGTGATATAGCAGACTAGAACTAGGAGAATCCGAAGATTTTTCCTCTGTATTAGAAAAGTCCGAAGAGTATGATTTTGCAATCTTTTCATTTCCGGTTAATCACCATGAATTGGTGTAGTTGGAAGTTATTTCCCTTATTTTTAAACAAAAAGAAACGAGTTTGATGGTGGATCATTAGATTAAACTGTATTGATAAACGTGTACTTTTGTCCTGATAACTTTCATTGCATATATTATGATAAATTACTTGATTACCAAATGAAGCTTCCGCCAGTTGATCATCACTGACAATTGCCTTCTTGGAGACTTTTCCGAAAAAGACAGTCGTGACTAAGAAGCAAGTCTAGCATAACATCAATTAAGAAAGCTTTATCGCTTTCATTTTCTTCGTTAAAGACGCAATCGTACATTTTGAGATACAGAGAGAGAGGGGGAGAGAGAGAGAGAGAGACAGTCGTGACTTAGAAGCCAGTCTAGCATAACATCAATTAGGGAAGTTTTTAACGCCTTCATTTTCTTACTTAAAGACGTAATCGAGAGAGAGAGAGAGAGAGAGAGAGAGAGAGAGAGCCCGTTACGTTCCGGCTTACACTTATTTCGAATTCCAACTATCAAGGGTTCCTTTAAGCGCACGGCAATCTGTAAACAGGAATAGATTTTACGTCATAAACCACAAACTATAAACCCAGAGGAACTTTCTTGATCCACACCGGGATCAAATCCGAAACCTCCCGGTTAACCCTGGTTAACGATACAACCCCCTATTCGCTGTGCCACTGCTGTTTAGATATACACGAGTACTTTTGTATCATGTCATTTGTTCAATTAATGTCAAGCACCGAGAAACAAATTAAATGTCACAATAAATTGACAACATTCAGGTTCAGGATGACCAGACATTTTACGAGTTAAGAGAACATGACAGTACAATTCATTATGTAATCAGGCGGAATTGTTTTTGAAATGTCAAATATTTCTGTTTATATAACATTAGATTAATGTATGAGATAAACATGTTATGAAACATAATATTACAAACGTAACGAGGTTGTTTTGATCAAGTTGGATGAAGATGGACAGAAACGCAGCTGTCAAGGCAAAGTTTTCCCTGATACATGCTTGATAGGATTGACGGTATTTTATTTTATTCTCTCGACGATTTAATATTTTATTGTATTAGCTCGAAGGTATTATATTATATTCTTTCAACGGTATTTTATTATATACTCTCTGTGGTATCATTTTATTCTCTCCACGGTATTATATTTAATTCTCTCCACGGTATTATATTTTATTCTCTCGATGCTATTATTTTATTCTCTCGACGGTATTATACTATATTCTCTCGATGGTATTATTTTATTCTCTCCACGGTATTATATTATATTCTCTCCACGATATTATATTTTATTCTCCCGACGGTATTATATTTTATTATATTCTCGCGACAGTATTATATCTTATTATATTCTCTCAACGGTATCATTATATTCTCCCGACGGTATTATATTTTACTATATTCTCGCGACAGTATTATATATTTTATTATATTCTCCCGACAGTATTATATTTTATTTTATTCTCTCGACGGTATTATATTTTATTATATAATCTCGACGGTATTATATTTTGTTTTATTCTCTCGACGCTATTATATTTTATTATATACTCTCCTTGGTATTATATTTTATTCTTTCGACAATTTGATACTTTATTCTTTCGACAATTTGATACTTTATTCTTTCGACAATTTGATATTTTATTTTACTTTCTCGACTTATTATATTGTATACTGTCGACAGTACTATATTATATTTTGTTTTAAACTCTCCACGGTATTATATTTTATTCTTTCGACAATTTAATATTTTATTTTACTTTGTCGATGTACTATATTTTATTTTATTTGCTCGACGCTATTATATTATATTTTAATCTCTCGACGTACATGTACTATAGTATATTATCTTGGTATATCCGTCTTCATTAGCCCAATCTGAGCAGAACAGTTGGACGTTAAACCCCATTTCATTTCATTTCTCTTGGTATACAGGGCCCTGTTTCACGAAATTTTAACTAAAGATAAAATCCAAATTTTAGTAGATACTTCAATTTTGATTGGCTAAGCACTAAAATCAATCTAATATTATCCAATCAAATTACTAAAATTTGGATTTTATCTTAGTTAAAATTTCGTCAAACAGGGCCCAGTAACTTTAAACATCATCTCTTGTGGAGAAAGGTCTCCCCGATTTATCGTGTCATATTTGATATGGAGGAGTTAAAAGCCTCTATACATTATCCAATAATCAATATCTACCATATTCTGATTTGTCTTTACTTAACAAATATATTTCTCTTTTTAGTTGATCAAATATTTTTCGACAAGTCATGGAATCAATTTGTTTCACTTTGTGGTAAAGGTTAGAACGGACAGTTCCTAACCCTAACCAGCTAACTCATCTTCTTTGAATGACATTTATTATTTGAACATATTAACACCGGGTACAATTTTTATGAATACACAATTACTGAGTTTAATACTAAGCGACGGGTCGACGAGGATACTTTCGTCTTCATCATTTCCTTGGTCGTACGTGACAAGGAGTAGGGTCGCTTATCCAATCTCGTGGGTTTTCTCCACGTCCTCCGGTTTCCTCCCACTGCTAAAGACCCCTACGCGCAAGCGAATTATTGAAATAAAAATTGAACCGTATGTTAGTCCCGAAATGACATAGTTTGTGTTGAGTGGACGTTACCCCCCCCCCCCCTTTTAGATATACAAAAAAGGCGTCTTTCTATTTCCTTATCCATATATATGATCAGAAAACCCCATTACGTCATAGCCTAAAATATATCAGCATGAATCATTTGAAATTGGTAAAATAACCTAAAATATATGAGCGTGAGCCATTAGTAAATGACTATACGGTATTATAATCCAGTAAATAACGAAGGTAATGACTTTAGTTCGTGTCTACAGAACATTCAGACCGACCAATTTATACATGATGTGATCAACAGAATGTATATATATAGAACTTTACGTATAATATATTTGTCTTTGAATACCAATATCGCGTGTTAGCATACCTCGTCTTGTACATGACACACATCACTACTATCGCGTGTTCTAGAAAGTACCCTGTAGTGCAAGTGTCCCTAATTATCATCGTTTGTACTTGACAAGGAGTATAGGGTCGTTTATCCAACGTCATTGGTTTTCTCCGGATCCCCTCGACCAAACTCCCTAGGAAGAGCCCTACACGCAATTGAATTATTGAAATAAAATTTAACCATATTTTAATCCCGAAATGACCTAGTTTGTATCGAGTGGAGTTAACCCTATCTTATAAACACATAATTATAAACTGATACACTCTCTCTCTCTCTCTCTCTCTCTTCTTGGTGTTTTATGCTTCTATTGCGTTTTCAGGTCGACCTAAAGTAACTGATCAGAGGCGATCAACATTATCATCATTAGTCAGTAGCAGTATACAGGCCTTTGACCAAACAGGTGCTGCCGTGCCACAAACTTACCTTAAGAAGAAAAACAGGGTAAGTCTCTACATAAAATACAGAGAACATTTGAATCATTTGCTATTTGAGAACTAGCGAATGCGATTAGACCTTAGGCATGTCCTGTCAGGGCCGTAACTAGCTCAGAGAAGTGTTCTTAGGGGGTGTTGTACAACTGACGGACAATGTATATCTATTGTTTTTATGGTCGACAATTTTTTCATAGGGGGTTGGGGGTGGGGACTTTTTGCTGGGGGGGGGGGGGGGCTGTGTCCTGTGTCCTTGCGAACAGTATTTACGTTATATGCGAGGGCTGCGGTCTCTGATATTCTATAGATAGAAGGCATGTCCTACACGAAATTAACGGGCAATAAATGGGCTAGTCTGAGATATGCTTGGAAGTGGTATCAGGTGGTCTATAAATAGCATCAGTTATTATATACCTGTGGATAACTGGGAAGTGGTATCAGGTGGTCTATAAATAGCATCAGTTACTAAACACCTGTGGGTAACTGGAAAGTAGTATCAAGTGATCCATAAATAGCAACAGTTAAATCATAGTAGAATATCCCCGGTAACCAGGGATATTCTACTATGATTTATCTACAAGGAATGGTTCCTGTTTTTCCTCGGATGCATCACTGAGATCCAAACTTGGCTGTACTGTTATAGGGACTCTTCGGCCCTTTTCCTATCGAGTGTGGGGTTTTATTGTCTTCTCCTTGGGATTATTTAATAGCATCAGTTACTACACACCTGTGGACAACTGGGAAGTGGTATCAGGTGGTATATAAATAGCATTAGTTACTATACACCTGTGGATAGCTGGGAAGTGGTATCAGGTGATATAAATAGCACAAGTTACTATATATAACTGTGGGTAACTTGTGTGATTATAAACCTTGATTAAAATATACGTTGCTAAAGCAACAACATTATGATATGGTTATGAAAATGAAAACAAATTTTCCCTCCGTGTATATAAATATCCTTTCATCATTTCATTTGTACTACCCGAATTAGTTCCTTAATTGATTTACGAGACACAAGATAGAACCTGCGTCATGAGCTCTTTACAATTGCGGTAACGTAATAAGTAAAAAATTACATGTTATTTGAGAAACAAAAGCTAACAAGAAAATACATCTCGGTAATGGAGTCCTTACATCTCATAAAGTAATTAAATGCACGAGTAGGTTGCGTGAAGAAAGACGAAAACAATAGCATGTCCTCGTTACATTTTCTTCATATGCTTTGCTCGGTTTAAACCTAGTTTGTAATTTCAACTATATAATTACTTTTTTTTTTCCTTTTCTAATTTTATTCTTTTAAATAATTTTATAGAGATAATTATTAATAAAAGGAGATTAAACTAGCAACTCGACTATCTTAAGGACAAGAACTGGTCTCAACCCGCTTCTCGTCCTTTTGTACTTGGCGGAGACAAAATGAAATGGGATTTAACGTCCTACAGTTCTGCTCCAAACTGGGCTACTGAAGACGGGCATATGCCATACAGTGTGCTATGAGGGAAATTTTGCCCGGACAGCGGCACTACAGCCTACTCTTATATCGAATTCCAACTGTCAAGGGATCTTTTACGTGCACGCCAATGTGTACACGGGACCTCGGTTTTTCGTCCCATCCGAATGAATAGACAGCTGTCCTTGTCAGGCCTTCCGTCCTGCATCACTGACAAGGGGAAAGCACGCTGGAAAGTCTGGATGAACTTTCTCGGCCAATGCAGGGATCGAACACCCGACCTCCAGGCTAGCCAGCTAGTGTCTTACCCACTTAGCCTCCGTGATCCACTTTTGGGGGCGACGTCAAAATTCCAACATGGCTGTGAGGATGTCATATACAGTTCTTGCGGCCCATTGTTATTTAAGTTTAAACCAAGTTTGCAATTTCAACTATATAATTATATTTTTTCTAATCTTATTCTTTTAAATACTTTTATAGAGATAAAGAGCTTAAACTAACAAGTAGCAACTCACTTATCTTAACGACAAAACCGAGTTCACAAAGCATTCTCAGACTTAAGTTAAGAATTTACTCAACTTTCAGTCACTGTTTATAAGAAATATCTTTGATCGAGAAACACAAAACTTTGCACATAGTTTCTTATTGATATAGTTGATACATTAAAACAACAAAAGTTTTAGTTAAGATAAGGCGAACATTTCTGAGTCTATTCTTAACTTTAGTCTGAGAATGAATTGTGAACTTGGGGCCCGGTCTCAAACCGCTTCGCATCCTTTTGAACTTGGGGGCGACGTCACAATTCCAACATTGCTGTGATAACGCCATACTCAGTTCTTGCGGTCTATTGTTTTTTAAGTTTAAACCAAGTTTGCAATTTCAACTATATAATTATTTTTTTTCCTAATCTTATTCTTTTAAGAACGTTTATTTTGTACTTGGGGGCGACGTCACAATTCCAACATGGCGGGGATGACGTCATACCCACCAGTTCTTGCGGTCCATGGTTATTTAAATGGTGTAACTACGATGTAGATGTGTCGCATGTGATATATGAGATTATAACAGGAATTATTTGCTGATATCAGAACCTAATTATATCACTGAGCGACTGTAATAGTTATCCTTAGAGACGTCGCTAATCTCACCACGATCATAAATAGATGTTATGACAAACCCTATTATCTAAAGCGCACGTGTTAGACCTCTATATTTTAACCGACAAATCTGACAACGCCTACTTTTCTGCACCGACTGGGAAAATAAAGACGGATATAAACCATGCGTCTACCTTTCTGCACCAACTGGTCTAATACACCACGTGGCTTTGTTATGAGAGACATTTTGCCTGGACATCGAATTCCAATAGCTATGCGTGCTTTTACGCGAATGCCAACTTACACGGGACCCCAGTTGTTCGTCTAATCCTAATGATTCGCCTCTTTCCCTTGCCCTACAGAATTTCCCAATAAAAAAGTTACTCTAACCCTACCCCAGCTAAACCTAACCCTGAATACTGTGGCTACGAATAACGTCTTTCATATCATATTGATATCTGTAAATTTTAGAGAAGTTTTGAATTGAACTGTTTGATACCTAAGCCTAAACCATAACCTTAAATACTGTGGCTACGAATAACGTCTTTCATTTTATATTTGAATATTTTAGAGAAGTCCCGGAATTGGGTTGCCTGATACCCCTGTAGCTCTACATGATCTGAATCTGGATGAATTGGTACCACGCTACGCTCCACCTGTCAGTCCTACTGGTAAACTCAAAGTCCAGTTACAGTTTACAGACGATAAACATGCTATAACAGTGATCATTATCGAGGTAAGATAATGTATAATATATTATTGGAATCAGTTGCATATAATATCAATCATTAGAACAAAGATAAGATAATTTGTAGGCAATGATGGACATTTCGTGGATACTGATTGGTCGAAAAATTGTGTCTAATACACAGTTTGCATATTATATATGGCTTGTAAATAAAATTATTTTGTGCAGTGAAACCTGTCTGTTCCTATATTTTTAGTTTTATCCCTTTAGCGTTGTTTTATCTGGATTATTGCCCCTTTTTATTGTATTTTAACTTATGACGCCAAGTGGCAAATTACCGCCATTACGTAACGTTTAACTTAGTAGCGTTTTTTTCCGATTGCTTCTTTGTATGCAGTTTTAGTTTTTGCTATGGTCAGTGCCGGACTGGGCCCACCTGTCCACCTGTCCGTGACAGGTGGGCCTAAGCTCATTAAAAATAAGTGGGCCTAAGCCTATAAAGAAATAAGAAAAAAGAAAAAGAAAAAAGAGAAAGAACAAAAAGGAGAGGGGGAGGAAAGAAAAGAAAGAAGGAAGGAGAGGACAGGAAACAGGACAGGAGAAAGAAAAGATAGGAAGAAAATGACTGACAACACAAAAAAAAGAAGTGTACTACAAGGAAAGAACTTTATGAGTTTGACCTCATTATACCGAGAACCGTGTAATTCATCTTTTAACCTCTACTTAGTTCTTCATAAGCTCTTAGGTCATTCTGTTATCTAATTGTATCAGGAAATTAAAAATTTGACTTCTTCTGTCTTGGTCTGAAATGCTTGGAAAATGGGTTTTCGATTGTCAATTTTTTAAAAAAAATTTCCTGGCGGGAGACCCCTCGGAGCGTACAACCCCTCGGACGCTTGTACGCCTACGGCACGCTCGAGGCACGCCTTCGGCCCGTAATTGTATGGGCCTTGGTCAATAACCTGGCAGGTGGGCCTTCGGCCCGCCAGTCCGGCACTGGCTATGGTTTATAGAAATAAGTACGTATGCCCTAACTTTCTGATTAATACACTTGAATTCTTTTCAAAGCTTTTAATGTTTTGATCCCTAATTTTTGACCACTACATAGAGGCCAATTAGTTTTTACTTGGCTTTTTACTACATTTCACATAAATGGGCCTACATTTATATGTCACGTAGTACATGGCCGATCATGACCCACGCTAGTATGATACAACGTTTAGGGGAAGTGTTCCCTTATTGTATGTTCGTTTTTCATTTTGTGTGAAGTCTGTATGACTACAGGCCCGCGACTATACAGCGCTGTGGGCGCTTACGGCTAGCCCCTGGATCCATTCACTTTGTCTGATGTGTGCGTTTGTTGTGATGTCTGTATATTGTGTTGTGTCCGTATAGTAGATTTGTCTTCTGTAATTGCTTGTGTGTGGCGCAGTCACTCTGCACTTACTGCTTATAACGTTTCTCTAAATTAACTGTCAATGAATATTTCCTGAGCACTAGAATCTCTTCAAAGTGGTGAAAATGACATCCTCTGGAGAGAACATGAACAGGCCTGTATCATCTAATAATTAGATATTGTCGTAAAAATTAGATATTGTCGTAAAAATTAGATAATGTCCTAAAAATAAGATATTGTCGTTAAAATGCAACTAGCGATAAGCGGCTTTATAAAAGCCAAATCTCGACCTAAATCCGGTACTCTATGTATCAGTTAACATCCTCAATCTTTCTAATCAATCAGATTAACTATATTTTATTCAACGGTGTTATCAACCCCAATAACTAACAAGATTCACACAAGCTTGTCTCACTGAATTCACATCTATCAATATATCCAAACAATAATCTAATTTCATGAACTAGTTTCTGTCAGTTCTTATTATCCCCTCACATCTGGATTAGCTACCTATTGATCAACAGTAATTCTATTTATTTCAACAATAAAAATCTCTATTTAACAATTCTGTTTGCAGTGATTGAATTTAACGGAATTCTGGTTTGACAATATTTAATGTTTAGCCGACCATTGTTAATGCACAGTTACACGCAGGGAGTTTAGACGGAGGCAAACATTTCTGACAATAGTTCTGCAGTTCACTATAAATAAGGATCGTTTTAGAGAGAGAGAGAGAGAGAGCGAGCGAGAGAGAGAGAGGGGGATTTTATTTCAATAATTCGCTTAATCAGGCTTCTTTATTTGTGGGAGGAAACTGGGGGACCGGGAGAAAACTCACAAGATTGGACGCGGGGGGGGGGGGGTGTACTTATTTCAATAATTCGCTTAATCAGGCTTCTTTATTTGTGGGAGGAAACTTGAGGACCGGGAGAAAACCCACAAGATTTGACAGGCTACCCTTCTCCTTGTGGACTAGAGTGTCACGCTTCGAACTCCAGCTGGCTTTCCATCGTGGTTTCTATCCCAGATAAGAGCATGACTTGGAAATAGGGGCGCTTTCTCAACGTCGTGGGTTTACTCCAGATACTTCGATTTCCTCCCACAGGAAAGGCCCATGCACGTGCGCTAAGCATAAAATAAAAAAAAGACAACTTGTCTTGAGTAATTGACTTAGTGATTAGTGCAAATTAGCACTATCTTTGATTACAAGTTACATCTGTTCAGAAATCCACTTTTTAGGTTACATGCCTAAAAATGGGTCGTACATAAAAAGTAATAAAAGAAAATGTTTAATGCTTTCTTATTCTTATTATAATTTGTTGAAACTGATTTATTAATTTTTTTTATAAATTATAATGAATTAATTTGATTCTTTGGTGCTATAAAATTTGAGGCTTGTTATATTGGAATAATTTATATAGTGTAATTGAAATGTAATTGACCATTGCATGATTTTTGGAATGTAATTAATTACATCTCCATTACAAATTACTTTTGAAAACTCCCATTCCTCATTACATGGCCATTACGTAAAAAATGTAATGAATACATTCCATTAATATTATTTCAGCCCTGACTGATTGGATGATGGCCACGGTTGCGTTACAAAAACACTCATTATTTCCATAATTATAACATGCAAGATAACAAGTATTGATAGATGATTCCAATAAACCGCGCTTTTATATATCGGGTGACCCAGAAAAAAAAACTAGTACATTATTTAAAGCGGAAATAAATAAAAAAAATTATTAAACATACATTATGCAAGACCTAAACCTGATTATTGCAGGTCTTTCTTTAGGCCTAAAATGTTATCTAAATTATTAATTAGACATTATCCAGACCATAATCAACTCACGATGGCATCACTAGTCTGCGATGTTTATTGGATTAGGTTCCGATTTGCTGTTCGACTTTCATTCATAATTTAATCATGAAATGGATAATCGAGACTATGTTTTATATCCTACCAACTTTAGTAATGACGATCGAGGCTAGACAGAAAATTCAATCGCTAAAATCTCGGGTCATAGTGGATCAATTTGACTGAAATTTTCAGCAAATTCCCTTTACATTATGTAGTTTTTAACTATTATAGTGAGAACTGTCAGCTCTTTATCGAATCTCCCATAATGTATCTTTAATATCCTTAACGATTCAAATGTGATACTTGACATTTTCACTCCAAATTGCAGGTCGAAAGCTCAATTATTGTAAGCATCGTTAGGATTTTAAAAAAAGAATGTCAATTCATGTTTTGCCGGATTGAGAAGTCACGTCACATTAGTTAACATAAAATGGTCAGTATGTCCTACCTTGTTGATAAGCGGGTCATTCCGTGTCAAGCGCGTGTGTGTGTGTGTGTGGGGGGGGGGAGGGGGGTGGCCGAATGGTTAGCACGTACGCGCTGTATCATAAGGCCTGTCATTGAGTCAACTGGCGTGGTTTCGATTCCCCAGTTGTACGTGACAAGGAGTAGGGTCGCCTGTCCAACCTCGTGGGTTTTATCCGGGTCCTCTGGTTTGCTCCCACTGTTAAAGATCCCTACCCGCAAGTGAATTATTGAAATAAAATTAAACCATATGTTAGTACCAAAATGCCCTAGTTTGTGTCGAGTGGATGTTAAACCCCATTTCTCTGTCTGTCTGTCTCTCTCTCTCTCTCTCTCTCTCTCTCTCTCCATGTCCAGTGGAATTCTCAGAAAGTTGTAAAGTGGCCCCATCAGAAAATTATGAAAAAAGTATATGTAATAGTACATACAGTCTTATGTAAAACTGCAAAGTTATATGACTCTAGCATTAATATTGGCTGGGATATGGCCTGTTGAATATATGTTATAGTACATACAGTCTTGTGTAAAACTACAAAGTTATATGACTCTAGCATTAATATTGACTAAACTATGACCATTTGAATCGGGGTACCCTTTCGCAAGTTTTGAAACTATAGTAGTCTATGACTCGACTTTTGTAATCTGATTTTATTCCTTCCAGTCAGTTTATGTTCTTGAAATTTTGGGGTTTGTAAGAGAATATTATATAGATTAAGAGAGAGAGAGAGAAATGGAGAGAGAGAAATGGGGTTTAACGTCCACTCGACACAAACTAGGTTATTTCGGGACTAACATGGTTTAATTTTATTTACATAATTCGCTTGCGCGTAGGGGTCTTTAGCAGTGGGAGGAAACCGGAGGACCCGGAGAAAACCCACGAGGTTGGACAGGCGACCCTACTCCTTGCCACGTACAACCGGGGATTCGAAACCACGCCAGTCGACTCAATGACAGACTTTATGATACAGCGCGCGCACGCTAACCATTCAGCCATCCAGCCATCCAACCCCCCATATAGATTAAGAATTTACCAGCACATTTAACAGAAACAAGTACAGTCAACTGTGTATGGGGTACCTTAAGTGCCAAAAGATGATACTTGTGCAAAAAACAATCAATATTTCGATACAGTGTACACTATACACTATATTTCTACACTATATACAAGTTGTTACTTATCACATGTATAATGTATCAATGGGTATTGTTTGAACAAACATTATTTTTTAAAAAGCCGTATCTTTGTCGATTTCTTGTAAAATTAGCTGTGATAATCGACTCACACAGGAAAATAGCTAAAACCACTGGAAAACAATT